GTTTCTTGTCTTACACAAAGAGAGCAGACCTCAGTCACTGTGTGATTCAGAGACAAACACTGAAGTGTCACAGGTGTGAAAACACAAGCCTAAAAGCCAAGTAATGTCCCTACTGTCAGTTTTGTGCTTGCTTCACTCCTAGCTGGGCGTGATGGAAAATGATTGGTTTTGGAAAGGCACATGGAGGTATTGCAGACTAGCAGCCTGCTGAGCGCAGCAAGGTGCAGGGAGCAAATGCTTCACCCAGCCAAACCCAGTGGGAATGTGTTGGAGTTCCAACATTGTTTTGCTGACACAGGAAGATGTCATCGCAGCAAAATATGAAGGAGTTAACACATTATGAAATACAGTTTTGGCAGCGATGCAGACAAAGATTGTTTTGCTTGAAATGCAGTAGCAGCAGTGCTGGTTAACAGGGTTATGCAGTCAGCTTGCCAGTCTAAGTCATTGCATTGTGCTTTATTTCTTCTTATATATTGGGTCCAAATCCTATGAAACACTCAACATAACTTTAAACTCATAGATGGTTCTTTGCTTCAAAGTTAGTCTTGATTTACAGTAAATTTGTGGATAGTGGCTGGTTAGAATAGCAAGTGAAAGTGCTAAAGGAAGCCTTCCTTTATGACAAGGTACCAGTGTGGATTAAAATTAAAAAAAAAAAAAAAAGCAGGAATTGTGTTTTAAACCTCTTGGCAGTCCTATTCTTTTACAGGGTGAGAAGTGAGGACCATGCCTGCTTACACACACTGCTGAGGACTTGGTGCACAAAATTGTACAGCCAGGTTCAAAATTACTCTTAGCTAGTCCAGGCACTCTGACTGCCCTTCCAAAAACAAAGGTGAAGTTTTCAGCATCACAAAAGACTAATAAACCACCTACGCTCCTGCATCTACCAAGATGAAGAGAGCGCCAATGCCTTATAAATTCAGAGAGTCTAGCCATGTATTTACTGTAGTCAGGTTGAAAGATTTGCAATCAGCACTTTCCAGGGCTGAGAGGCAGATCTTCTATAATCAGGCCTCAATTAGTTACCTGCCTTCAGCTGAAGATCTGGCCTCCTGGGCCCAATTCTTTGCCATACTTTTGCATGAGCCTGGAAGACAGCCCTTCTCAACAGCATTGCTGGAAATGGGCTTTTGCATTCAAGTAGACAGCTGTTTCTCCCATGTTTTCACCATGCTTGTGGTCTCCATAAAATACATCATAAAGTTAGCAAGCAAAAGCTATTTTCATCTGCAAGATGCCTGTTTGGGTTTTGCAGTAAGTCACCATGAGTGCCTTGCTTTGAAAATATGAATCTAAGTCAAAGATTGGTCCTCATTTCAAATAATAAAGCAGTTTCTCAGATAATAGTTCATTGAAATTAATAGGGCTATTTCAATTTAGAGCAATCAAGGATATTGATAAAAATGGCACTGTGAACTGTAATTAGATATAAATAAAGAAACAGGGATCTATTTATTTTCATACCTTCATGCTGTCTCATTTGTTGATGACACTGAAATAGGTAGTAACTGGAATGAAGCCCAACAGCTAATTTATGTTTAACATACCACTAGTTCCTACTTATTCTTGTAGTATACTTTAACAGTAAGTACTTACAAAAATGCTTAGTAAAATCATCCATCCCATGCTTCAGTTCCTCAAAAGCATCCCCGCTTCAATGTTTGTTGCTGGATGTGTCTATTAGCAACACTGCTTAAGTAACTTTCTGGTTTAGGACAATTCTATAAATGACTGAGATGTTGGAATTCAGAGGACACTACTTTGTCATTTGCTCTCTATTGAGTAGTATGTTGACATCAAATAGTTCACCTGAGATCATGCTGAGGTTTCCAAAGTAAGCTAAAAAAGGAGAAGTAAGCTGCACAAAGAAGACTGGCAGCGTGGCTGGTTTAATTTTAGGAATGCACAATAACGTATGTGTGCATCTAGGAATACAAGGGGAAAAAAATCCTGTATATTGCAAGTTAAATTGTGGTTTTAATGATGAAGACACAAGGCTTTCCTTAGCTAGCAAATCACACATTTTTATTAATTTTATCTTTAATAGGATTTCTGATCCTATCACAAAGCAATCTTCATTCTTTGCCAAAGGGATCTGGAACTAGTAAAATATTTCTGCCTATTACACTGGTCTGTTAAATATTCAACTAATTTTAGAAATTCCTTTTATTAGCAGCTACAGTATACATGTCCAGATTCCTTTTTCTACTGTAAGTGTAGGATACCTATGCAAAAAAAAAGAGGGATATAAACTGAAGTTTATATCTCTGTATTATTTGTTTCCTGTTTCTCATCTGAGTTAAATTGAAGTGAAACAAATATTAGAAGATTTTAAGGGGAAAAAAAAATAAAACACTTCCAAGGCAGATTTCATAACAGCAGAACAAGTATCATTTTGAGTGGCAATGCACTGGCAATAACATTTGGCTCTGGTTCACATCAATCTGGAGGCCCAGCTACACAAGCCAAGCTGGCTCAGGATCACTTCTGAACAGGCATTTATCACCTTCAGTGCAATAATATTCCAGAGGTCCAAATCAGGACTAAGCCCTTTGCACAGATGTGACACGCTCACCCAGCTTAATCCTTCCTCCAACACTGTCATGGCAAAAGTGCCTCTGACTTCTTTGGTGTTAGAAGTCTTGTCTTAGCTTCCCAAATTTCCATGCTCCCTGCCTTTTCCCTTCTTTCCCACTTCACTCTGTTTCCCTGCATGTTGTGAAGTCTTATGGATTTTAATGCAATTCATATTTTCCTCTTCCATTTATCAGCCTTTCCTTCCTTTGCAGACTGGTTCTGAGCCATACCCTCAAGGACGAGTGGAGGAAGCTCCCGTGAGCAGTGAGAGGGGTGACGAGCCGGCTCGTCATGTCTTCTCCTTCTCGTGGCTGAACTCACTGAATGAGTGATGACTCACTCTGGCTGGCTTCTGGTGTGCTTCTCCTCAGAAGGACCGCAAGCACAGGCAGCCTGGCTGCAGTCAGCAAAGAAACTGGCCTGGGAAGGGGCATCCGAGCAGGTTTCATTCCTGGGAACTCAGCTGACCTCCACACCATACCCTTGAACTGACAGACCTGAGAGGGAGGGGAGCATGGGGACAGATTATTCTATGTATTGTAGTCATAGTGTTTTCCAATAATTTCTCACTTCCAGGGGGGAAGAAGCATCACTACAGCTTTAGGCTGAGCACTCCTAGTGTTGTGTAACTCACTTGTTGGCATGTCCCCATGTAGGTGTAAACACTTCACCAATGTTCTTAGCTAAAACGCTGGTATGATATTCTCTAGTAGCATCCTTTGCTAAAACAGTGTTTCTCCTCAGTATCCTCCTGCATCCCCGCTTGTCAGTGCCGGTGACTTCAGTGACACTATCATGTCCTTGGCAGCCCCAAGTCAGGGTTGTGTCTAACAGCACTGGTGCCTCCCAGGCTGCGGAGGCTGAACACGGGAGGGAAGGAGGAAGCTGCCATTTCTTCCTTTGCACTTGCTCTTTCTACTAAACCACAACAGATGACGCTTGCAGAAACACATTATTTGTACGGAAGATTCCCGGTGGCAGGAGTGAGGAAGAGACACTTACCAAAAGCACTGGCCAGGACCCCCACACAGCTCTGAGTATGTGGGGCAGTTGCTGAAGTGCTGCCCAGTCTGTCCAGCTGTAACTGTGTCCGTGTCCTCTCAGCCATTGGTGTGTGTACAAAAGGGGACATGTTCTTACATGGAACCAGGGTGCAATAAGGTGGCCACAGGTACTCACTCAAGGTTTAATTTGAAGCCCCTGTGCTGTGCTGTAGAAAAGGTAGATGCTGACTGTCCTGTTCTGTGTGCATTGCAGATGTTGAGCCATCAAATGAAATCAAATTTGTGTCTTACAAGAGGCTCTACAAGTTATACCGAAGGCAACACTCGGTGGTTTTTCTCACTGAGAGTAGGGCGTCAACACTCAGCAGTGTTTAAGAGATTGGCAGCTGCCGGGAGTGCTTGGTGCCATAGGGGACCAGGTGTCAAGCTCTGCACTAGCGTTACGCGTGGATCTTTCCCAAATCCCGGAGCCAAGCCCTCGGTGCCCTGTTTTGGCAGGGGCCTGTGTGGGCTGTAAGGCTGCGCTGTGCCCCAGCAGGGCTGGTGAGCTGGCAGTGCAGACTGGTCAGCAGGCTGTGTGGGGTCAGCCCCTGTCCCGGACACCCGTTGCTACCGGCCCTCGCTGGTATCTGTTTTCCCTGGACAACGTTCCCTGGAAGACTCTCCTGCGGGAGTTTCGGAGGCTGCACAGGCGAGCTCCGCAAAGCTTTGGAACTCGCGCAGCCCGGAACGAGCGCAGCCCCGCCACCGCATCGCCTCCGGCTGCTGGAGCAGCTTTTCCCTGGGATTTGGTTCGGGGTGAGGGATTTACTATTTTCTCCCAGTCGTCCTGGAGATTTCCCCCAGCTCCTCCCGGGAAGTTTCTCCACACCCACTGCAGCTTCCCTAGAAGTCCCTGGGAGGGACCCCGCTCGGGCACGGCCGTCGGGACGGGGGAAGCTGAAGCAGGGGGGGAACCTGCCCTTTTGGAGTGCGGGGAGGATGCGAAAACGCAAAAGAGATGCGGGAGCGCCTCACCGCCTTCCCACCGCTGCTCCCCGGCGGGAGGAGGCGGCCCGATCCCGGCCACAGCGGCAGGAGCCAGGGAGCCTCCTCGGGGGGCTGCAGAGGTGGGATTCGGCAGCTCCGGGGGGCACCGATCTGCCCTCGACACCCCGTTCCCGGGAGCCGCCTGCGCCCAGGGCGGCGGCGGCCGGGGCAGCCCCCGAGCGGGGCCGGCGGCGTCGGGGCGCGCCTGTGGGAGAGCCCGCGGAGACAGAGATCCCCGGGGCGGGGGGAAACATCCTCGGGGGACATCCAGGGCTCCCCACGGCTCTGGGTGTCAACGGCCATGGGTGCCACCCCGCCTCGGTAAGCGCCGAGGGAGGCGGAGCAGCCCCCAGGCGTCTAGGCAAGAAAGTCTATCAAGGCATCTTTACTTTGCAGCTTTTATTAAAAATATAAATATTAAACATTCTCTTACACAACCAAATCGACCGAGCGCTGAAAAGATGTTTTATTGTGAAAATGTTTACAGGAAAAAAAAGTGGATTGAAAGTAGCTTACAGAGATTCCCCCTCCCACCTCCCTGCCCCCAACAGAAAAGTTTTCTGTCTTCTTGGCACCATTCTTCCAATGCTCACACATCCCTACGTAGCGATGGCACTAGAATAACTGGGAAATGGAGAAATAAATAAAGGTAAGGGAGGTTACAAACGACACTCGTGTTTCTGCACTTGGTACACGGTTGTGCATGCTAGTCAAGGGACAGAGGCTGTTCGGAATACGCCCTTCTAGGTTTAAAGCTATATAAAAATAAAGAGATGACATCAGAGCAGCACTATGGTACATCGGACGGTGTAATTATTCTTGTGCTAACTGCGGAATCTCTTTGGCAAGGCGGGGAGGGGCCGTTTCACTTCCCGATTATCTCCATCAGTTTCCTGTTGCTGTGAGCTTGCTGCGCTAACTGCTCGGCTCGGGCCATCTCCAAGACTTCTCGCAGGAGGTGGAAAGTCAGATCCAGAGAAATAGGGGGCTCCTCGGATCGCTTCTCCCTCTCCACCGCCTCACCCTCGGCTTCGCCGTCCTCTCGGTTCTCCGGCGAGCGCTCGGGCAGCTGCTGCAGCTGTTGAACCGCCGCCCGGAAAAAGTTGCTGGCGGAGGCTTCGGGCTGTAGGTGGCTGGTGCTGCTGGAGGAGGCGGAGAAAGAGCCAACGGGTCTCTTGTGAAGGTTGCCCAGGCGCAGGAAATACTCTTCTCCCATGCGGAGCAGGACAGGCAGAGTTTGCTGCTGCTGCTGCTGCTGTCGCTGCTGCTGCTGCTGGAAGAAATCTGGCTGGTGCAGAGCCCCAGGGGCGGGTGCCGGGCTCTTGCTGAGAGCTCTGCACTCCTGGCAGGGCAGGAGGGCGACCAGCAGGATTCCCGTGGAGACCAGCAGCGGGATCTTCATGATCGGGGCCCAAACCTGCGGGGGCAGAGGGGGGACGGGGGTTGGGTTACAAAGCCGAGCCGCAGCGGCGGGGAGGGCAGCGGGCGGCCGGGGAGGGGGCGTCCCCGCCGCCGCTGTCCCGGTGCTGAAACGCTCCGCTCCGCGCCGCTCCGCGCCCCTCGGTTCCCCGGTTCCCCGCACAGCACCCCCGGCCGCGCTCAGCCCGGCCCGTCCATCCGCGCCGTCGAGGCGGCCGCTCCCCGCAGAACAACCCTGCGGAACAGCCCCGCAGGGCGGCTCCGGTCTGCCCCGGCAGCGGCTCCCGGAGACCAGGCTGGGCTGAGCCCCTGCGCAGCGTCCACGCGTGTTCGCGACCCGCGCCTCTTCCCCCACCCGGGGCGAGGGGGAGCGTGGGGTGCCTGTGGCGGGGCGGCTCTCCCCACGAGCTGTGGGCTTCCAGCGCCCGTTCCCCACCTCCCCGCTCCCTGTGCGGTTAGGACAGGTCCCCGCATCCCGCGGGACGCGGCGCTCAGCCCCGCTCAGCGCAGGGCAGCGCATCCGCTGCGCGCCCGGGCGCGGCCGCGCACCTACCTGGGGCGGCGGCGGCGGCAGGGCAGGGCGGGCGGCGGCGGGACTCGGCGGTGCCCGGCGTCCCTTCCTCTCGCTCTCCCTCGGAGCCGGCTCCTGGCGAACTTGGGATCAGATTTGGTACTAATCAGAGCCGGGGCGCGGGATTTTTATAGCTTAGACCCTCTCCTGGAATCACGCAGAACTTGCCTAATAAGCTGACGCTCTCCCTGACAGCCCGATTGCGTGCCCCGATCTACTGCTGAATAAATCATGGGGGCCCGTCGGAGCGGCGATGGGCCGAGTTTCGCTATCGCAACCCCAAATCTCACGTCCAATTATATCAACAGATATTTATCGCCTCTGCAGTGACGTCAGCCGGGCCGGGGGCCGGGGAGCAGGATGCCCCCCCCACCCCATTGACAAAAATACTTGAATGAGATTTCCTAGCGGGCGCGTACTATGAGAGGTCACTCCGGGGAAACTTTCCACTCACGGGCCGGCCCGCGGGGAGGGACCCGACCCGAGCGGCACCGGCGCTGCTATCCCGGGCAAGCTCCTTCTCCATCCCCGCTCTTTCCCGGCCCCCCGACCTCCGCCGCCTCCGAGCCCGCCCGCACGGGGCGGCTGTGGCGGGTGGGCGCAGGAGGCTCCGCAGGGCCCGTGTTTTGCGTGGGTGCCGTCTCTGCTCCGCTCCCGGGTCCGCCCGGGCCGGGCAGCGCTCGCCCTGCGGGGCGGGCAGGGGCGCACCGAGCCCGCGGGGAAGGGGCAGAGCAGGCGCCGGCGCCGGGGGGGACCCGGGGCAGCGCTGGCACCGGAGCTGCCAGGGGCCCCGTCGGAGGGAGAGGGGGCGGAAAGGTCCCGGGGCTGGTGGGGAAGGCCGAGAGAGCCGCCAGGGCCGCCGGGGAGCATCTGCCCGGGCAGGGAGCGTCGCCCGGGGGGCGCTGCGCTCCCCTGCCCCGCCACCGCCGGCAGCGCCGCCTGCTCCTCCCGGCACCGCTCCCGCCGTCTGGCCGGGCTCCTCTCCACTGCCTTCCCCCTGCTTGCATGGAGGCAACAACTGCTCTTTGTTCCCCTTCTCGACTCCACTGGCTGATCTTCCCCACCTCTTCAACGCCATGGCCGGGTGCTTGCCCTGTCTGCCCTCCTCACCTAAGGCCTTCCCCTCCAGCCTGCCCTAATCCCACGTGGAGCTTTTTTCCAAGTGTTCTCCCATGACCGGTATGTCTTCAGGCTCCAGACCATATTACATCAATGTCTCCACCTGGGTTTCTTGCCCTCTGATCTCTTCAAGAGGAAGTGCTGTCTGTAGAAATAACTTCTGCCCAACATCCATTCCATGTGTAATGTGTGTTCTTCCATTTTTGCATCCCATTATCTTTGCCAGTGTCGTCTCTCAGCCCTCCTTCTCTACTGCCTCAGTTGAAACATCAATCATATCCTTCCCTTTAAATTGGAAAACTTTACAGAAAACCTATTGGTTGTATCTTGTCTAGACAATAAACTCCTGGGGTCACACACTTGAGTGTCTCCCATTGTAGACAGGAGTTGGGACAGAACAGGTGTCACATGCTATTGATGCAAAGTGATAAATCTGAACTCCATTTCCTTAATAAAATAACAAAGTTAAAGCCACTTAATGTATGAGGTTGGCCACAGCCCAATTCTAAGCATCTCCTTAGGGATGCTCTAAACTTCAATTTTAGTTATACCAAGCTCCAGCCTCGGCTGCACTTTTTGCAAAGTGCCAAAGAATCAGATCTTGTGCATCATGAAGAAACAAATGGAAAAACAAGTAGTAGTACCAGAGATTTAGCTCTTCATTACCACTTTTTGCTCAGGCATTCATGAACTGAAATGTGTATTACAGAACAGAATATATTGTGTAGCTAGTCACAGCAGCAGTTATTTGTATGCTTTTAGAGCATGTCAGCATGGCTTTCAGTGAGAACAAGAGGTTCAAAGAAACAGGAGCTAAGTTCAATCAATTGAAGGAAAATGTAAGAGGTACTTATTAAACTCAAATCCTTCCTTCAGATGTGCTCTGGGGTGGGTTTTATCACAGCGTCTCCATTTTTAGGTTTAACATACTCTTTAAAAACACAAGAGCCTCTTAAAATAATGTGACTGTAAAGGTAAAGAAAGAAGAATTTTGATCAATATATTTTTTGTTGTGTGTTAGGGGTGAGATCTGGATAAGACAGAGCTGCATTTCTCCAAAAGATTGATGCCAGTGAGAAATGGCACAGGTTATGTTATGTTTTTAATAATTTACAATATTATTTAGGTCTCTTTAGGCAGACACTTTTGTCCCTTGAGAAAATCCAGGTATAGCAAATGCAACGTAGAAGCAGGCTGGGGTTCTCAAGTTTTCACAAGACCTGTACAACCTGCCAGTTTCTTCTCCATTTTTTTCCTCACTCCTGGCTCTGAGCATGGTCTGCAATGTCTCACACAAGCTTGTTTCTAAGCCAACATGGTCTTATTACCCCACTTTGCTCATAGATCCTGAGTGATGTGTGAGAGGGCTTGCAGTAATGCAGGGAACACTGTGAGACAGTTGGATGTCTTGATAATGAGGAATATAAACTATCACAGATACATAAACCAAAAAACACTTCCCTCAGCACTTCAAATGCAGAACTGACTGCCTAGGAATATAAAAGTCCTTTCTCCAGAGTCACTAGCTTCTGAGTGAAATGTCAGCTGTCACTCCTGAAGGAGATTGCAACATAAGAAATCTTGGCTTCTCACCAGAGGGGTGAAAAAAGAGACAAGGAGGATATCAGGTACATGTGGATTAGAGATTTTTGTTTAGTGTTATAGTTTGAGATTAGCATACCCTTCATAAGAAAAGTGTTCATATTTGACTCACTCTGCAAACATCAGGAGCAAACAGAAATTTTAGTGAATCACAAAATAACATTGTCTAGAAATAAAAAGCACTATTGAGGCCCATTTCCTCTCCTCTGACTTGGGTTGAGTGCTCTTGCCCTTTAGCCTTGGTGATCTCAAACTCAGGCACCTCCTGAAAAGCAATTACAGCTGCTCTGAGGTAGCTCAGGGGAAGCAAAAGCATGCCCAGAGCATGATGCACCCACTGCAATAGAGCACCTTCAGGCTTCTGGGGACATTCACCTTGTTCCCTTGTCTATAAAGGGAGTGCAGACAGCCACCTTTGCCTGGCCACTGGATTCTTAGACAGCAATGTGATGTGAGAAGAATCCCCTCCTCAGTGAGTGACCACAGCACAGAGATCAGCAGCTCTAAGTATGGTAATGCAGAGGGGTGATGTTAAACTGAGGGTATGGCTCTTACCCCAGGTATTTCTGAAGATGTCCAGCTACAAACGTGGAAGGACACACACTAGATGTAGATCAACTTTCTACCACAGTGCAGTGTTTCATTACCACTTTGTCAGAAGGCAGTAAGGGCTTTTTGCATTGCTGAGTTCAGCAAACATTTCCACATCTCACAGTAGCCCTTCATTTTTGATCCCTGTGATCAGACATGCATTCTTACAGTCTGACTACTTCAGGTGAACTCAGCTCATCTGAGATGCCAGCAATCATGTGTACATCACACTTCCATTTCATCTTTTGGTAGTCTGGATACAAAGAAATCTGTGTCTGACAGTTATAAATATTATGGATTCTAGGACAACTGAGAGAAAAAGAAAATAAAAATTCAGGGGATCTTACTCTGCCTGAAGGTGATAAGTCACTTTAAGAACAAAATACATTTGCCTATTATTCCACAGCAGACTGAGTTTGCTAGAATAATCATAGAGAACCTCAATTAAAGTGAGTTATAAAAATCGATCTAAATAAATCAATTAAATACAAAAAGTATGTTGTAGATCAGGATGAATAATTAAACTGATAAGGATTTCAGCTATCTGCCCTTGCTTCTGACCCCAGAAGTCTTCAAAATTCTCTCCTTCACTTTTAATTTCTCTTTCATTTTTCAATCACCTTGCTCTGGGAAGGAAGTCACATGCTCCTGTCACAGAGATTTTCTGTGGTGCACCTCAATCTTACAGCAGAGCTCCACCTATAACTTGTACCAGATTGTCCTACAGTCCTGAGAGAGAGAGAGTAAAGCACCTTAAATTCCCAAACTTTCCATGGGGGAAAACAGCATCAGAGGGTTAAGAAATTTATCAGGTATCTCTCCAGGAACTGTGTAAGAAGCAGGAGTGAATCTTGCATTATCTGAGACCAAGTTCATTAGCTCAACCAGAGGACTATTTTCATTTACAACTTCATATTAATACTCTTGATCCTAGATATCTGCTCACAAGACATAATTTTATGGGTTTGGGGGTCCCAGCAGAAGGAAACATTCCTCAGGCATATCCTCTTGGTTCCACCATGTCTGGGAGGAGCACAGCCGTTCCCAGCAGCTCACACACGGGTGGATTGGCAGGGATGGCTGAGCCCCAGTTGAGCAGGGGCAGCGTGCACTGCTCAGGAATCCCAAGCATGGCCCTGCTGCCCCAGCCAGAGCCTTCCCTTTGCCCAAAGCCCTGCCTGTTCTGGGGGATATTCCCACCAGTGAGGGTCACACGGGGAGGAGCTGCTCCCATACCCTCTTGGACAACACCAAAAAGCATTTCTGGAGGCCTCACAGCATTGCTCTCTTCTTCTGAGCAGGGAAGGGACTTGCAGGAGCTGTGAGAAGCATGCAGGCAGGAAAGTGCTGAGCCTCTCTCCTCCTGACAGCCCTCATCCAGGGAGGCAACAGCTGACCTTTATATTTACCTCACAAGACTTGTCAGCTGCTATTCTTGCTCTCAGATAAGGGCTGGAGAAGGCTGCACAGGCACGTGCATGAGCCCTCTATGCTGTTAATGATCATGCTGGAGGAGGTAATCTCACACTTATTGGTAGCAACAAGGAAATCCATCAAACAGGCATGTCCCGGGAGCGCCGAGCACCTGATATTCCTCGTTGTCTCGGTGTCTGGGTACATTTGGCCATGAAAGAGATTTTGCTGGCTAGCTGAGTGCCCACTTTGTCTGTCTATCCTTGGTGCAGAGTGAGGCAAGGACAAGGATTTGGGTTTGCATCTGGCATGTATCTGGAGCAAGCCACTGGGATAGCCAGGTTCACTTCAGTTCAGAGGGGCAGAGGTACGGACGCACAGACACGATGGACGGCAGGGTATGGCTGCA